ACTCATTTTACTATAGCTGTTTCTAACAGGTTGATAATTACAATGTCACATAATTGTTTGCAGTGCTTACAGAACATTTGCTCGTGGCTCTGAAACATAGGCGTAGGAACAAGGAGGCCGGGGGTGGGCATGGCCCCCCACTTTTCAAACATTTTTGAAAGTAAAATCTTTATTTTTAAATTTAATACAAAACTAAGAGCAGGAAATGGTTCGGCACTGTGAGATGAGCACAAAACTGCAAATAATTTCTTCATAGGGATATTGGGGTTCCCAAAAAGTGACATTAAAGCATAGGTGGGCATCGTTAATCAAAAAGTTAGTTTCGTTAATCGTTAATCCGTTAACTAAAAAGTTAGTTCCGTTAAACGATAATCCGTTAATTCACAACAAAAGTAACGGAAGTTACTTTAGTCCGTTAATCGTTAACATTTTACACGGTAATAAACAATATGAAAATGCTTGTGCATTTTTCTGAGGACAACTCGACCAACCTACGCTAACGGCTAGGCGCCACTCACTTGTCGTAGCGCGGTTCTGCTCTCGAAGACCTGCCAACAATTGCGCCTGCTCGGTGACGGCATGGATAAGATATACCTATTTATAAATACAATACATGGTGATGATATGTGTGATGCGAGTTGCGACCGATTTCAACCTGCGTTACCGACGATTCAGCTCGCCTGACAAACAGCTCTACCCTTTCTCTCCGCCTCTCAGCCAGGCAGCGTTCCAATGACAGGCGTGTGCATCACAATTTGCAACGTATATTGCCGCTACACATTGAATACCAGAGATGAAGCACACACAAACAGCTCAAGAGGCGCACTCAAGTAAGTTGAAGGTTTCATACACACCAGTGACTTTACAGTAAACTTTTTGCTTCGAAATAAAAGTAACGATTAACGGATTAACGGACTAAAGTTTAACGATTAACGGAGCCGAAAAGTAACGGAACTAAAACGGTCCGTTACACGTGGAAAAAATTAGCGAGTCCGTTAATCGTTAACCCAAAACTTAGTTCCGTTAATTAACGCATTAGCGATTTAACGGACTTGCCCACCTATGAAAGTTTCGCTGCCCTCCCCCCTCCCCCACACACACTTTTCGTGAGGTTCCTTATACATACCTGACTCCACCCTGTCCAACCTACGGATTGCGAGATTTGCATTCTTTTTCATTTTACCGAAGTGAAATTCTAATCTAATTTTAGACATTGATATGCTTGGATTTCATTTTCATTTAGAACGAACAAAAACAAAATGCGACACAGTTTCTATTCACTAGCTGTTCTGTTATGTGTACATGCCTAGGTATAGTGCAACATAAAATATAATGACCCCATTGCTAGCATACTTATAAAACAAATATCAAAAAGACATACATGCTAAGCAACACGGAATCCATATATTTAGGTAGGTAAATATAATGTATTGCCAGTGTGTATATTGTATAAGTATATATGTATATGCCTTATGCACGACATGTATATTGTAGTTATATGGGTAGGTAGTCTACGTTATACGACATGTAGGTACATACCTATGACATGTACCACATGTCTTTAGCTAGTCTACGACATACGACATGTCGTATGGTATGGTATGTACGACATGTACGACATGTACGACATGTCGTAGACAATATATTCCGTGCTCAAGCTATTAGTTGGTCGCTCTGCAATAATTAGGTACTTTTAAGTTCTACAACTTTAAGAAGTCACCCGAGGTCACCAACGGTGACATTGACCCGACGTTTACGTGACCTTAACCCTCGCTCTGGCAGGGGGGGGGGTCGATGCGACCCCCCCCCTAAGGTTTTTCGAAGATAGCGTAAAAACGGCGGCGCGCATCGCCGCCAAATTTGGCACAGCCTATGGGGCAACCTTTTTACATATGACCTGAAAATTTCAGGTCCAAGTGACCTCGGGTCAGGTCACCAGGTCAGAAAAACCGGTACAAGGTCATGGTCAAATTTCAAGTTTCTTTTTGCACCTGTCCAACTCACAGTTTTGGACTGATTTCCTTCAAACTTTCAGGATATGCTAAGTTCACCGAGTTGTATAACATATATTCCGGTTTTTTTAGGTCATTGACCTGAGGTCAGTTAGAGGTCATTACGTCGTAATGTTAAGCCTATGGGAAAATACTAAATTCGGAAAATACTGGAGATATCCGCTTCGTTCTATCACTTTTGTGCTTTGAAACCACAGTACTTAACAGCAGGTCACTTGGTGCTTCTTTGTTTGGTGTACTTATCCATGGGTCAGGTCAAATGAGGTCAACTGAGGTCAAATGACGTTTTTGCCAATAACTTGGCACATAATGACGCTAGAGCTTAACCCTCGCCCATGTAGGGGGGGTTGGTACAACCCCCCCCCCCCTGAGGCTTTTCGGAAATAGTGCAAAAACGGCGGCGCGCAGCGCCTCCAAATTTTGGGTACCTTATGGGGCAAACCTTGCGCATCTTTTGATAAAAAAAAAATTGACCGGGTCATGTCAGGTCACGGAGTTATGACGCCACAAAGGGAACAGCCTCCGGCCGGATTCTCACAAACTGAGTGCCAACGCCCGAGGTTTCCTGCCGGTGGTACGGACATCGGTTGATGGATCGTGATGAAAATTCCCATGCATGTTGGGGCAAGTATTGGCTATCATATGGTATAAGAAACTTGACCGGGTCAGGTCAGGTCACGGAGCTATGACGTCACAAGAGGAACAGCGTCCGGTACTATTTTTGAAAAGCGCCCGAAGCACTATTTTGCTAATTCTTGTCACCTCAATGGGAATATGCAGCAATATTAGCTTCTATAGGGAGCAAATGGACCTCCCAAATCCAAAAATACAATCAGATTTCAAAAATTTAAATTTTGATTTTTCGAATTTCTGCCGCCGAGTGTGACCTTGCCGACTTCCGGCGCTCCCAACGCGCCATTTTTAGAGCTAGGGAAACGAAATACATACCAAACGATAGAGAATTGATCAAGGAACACGATAGTGAAAGTTTCAAGTCGATATCTCTCACCGTTTTGCCGCAATCGCCGCGGAAAGTTGAAAAAAGTCTATTTTTCCGAAATTTGACCTTTGACCGGTCAAAAGTAGGTCAAATGTTGACCTAGGACCAAAAATATACCACCAATCGCGAGATCTCGGCGAGAGCAATCCGTTGGTCTTTTCCGCTAAGCTCTACGACGCTCCGTTTTCAAACGCCAAGGGGGGTTCGCACCAACCCCCCCCCCCCCTGCATGGGCGAAGGTGGCAGATCGCCGTTTACGGGCGAGGGTTAAAAAATGGTGTCATTGTGTTCCTGGTGAGCAGCCGAATCGAATGATATGCGATATGATGCAATTTGGTTAACTTGAACGTGCTTGAACTTAATTAATCAATTTAAGTTTACTTAAAAATTAAGAAAAACTTTAAGTACACTTAAGCAAGCTAAGAAGTATATCATTCGACGTGCCTTGACGTGCTGAGTTCACTGGTGCTTTTCTTTTTGCTCTATCTTAATTAGATCAAAAGTTATAAGCGAAAAACTTTTGACCTGTTTTTAGCGAAATTTTTACATTTATACCCCCCAAAGCCCCCCTAAATATTGACCTAGAGCAACCAAATTTGCACAGGGGCGAGAAATCCAGGGGGCCCACCTACCTACCAAATTTGGTGTTTCTAGGTGCCATAGAAGCCAATCGCGAGGGGGGGTCGCATCGACCCCCCCCCCCTGCCAGGCCGTGTTATGAAAAATGCCCTGCCAGGGCGAGGGAAACTGGCAATTGGCAGTCATCCTACGACTTGGCACCAGGCTGGGGCGATCAAGACAAAAACGCCACCTGTCGATTCACCGTGTGCAATATCATTAACCGCGTGTAAACTAAAGCCGTTTTCACGAACTTTAAACTAACCTTGACAAAAACATAAAATTGACATTCAAAGGTCACCGGAATCACCTGAGGTGAGGTGATACTTGAAACAGCTGACGAAACCGTATACAGCGGCGGCATTTTCATCTCGATCGGCCCAGTAGTTGCTGAACTATATGGATTGGAATGGCTGAAGCGAAAACGTTAAATTGACCCCTACGGGTCACCCATGTCACCTGAGGTTACCAAATTTAAAACGACTGAAGAAATAGCATTCGGCGAATCGATTGCGCGGTGGTGTATGTACCTATTCGTCTCAATCGGCGCAGTCCTGGAATTATACATTAGACTGCCGCCTGCCATAGCCGTAAACGTGACCGGAAAGGGTCATGCTTCCGTCTTTTGCATAATGAGGTATGCGCCTACTGCTCAGTTAGTTTTATGGTGAGGTCACTAATGCAACCGACCACAGGTAAAAAAAAAACGAAGATATAGGTACGATTTGTTGGAAGCTATAGAACTGATAGTTATGCACCGAGTTTAAAACTTCTATGGCATATTGATATCTACCTACTGCAAGAAGGTAAGTTGTGGTCAGTGGTGTTTTTAGGCACTTTGCTACTTAACTTGATCTGGTGACCTAACGTTAGGTCATCCGAGGTCAAAATCTTTAAACACGTTGCAGAATTGATGCATGATACCTACCTAACCTATCCCAAATTTGCGGCGCTGAAGCCGTGGTTTTATTGTAACACGTTACACACAAATAAACGGAGGAGTGTGGCCGAAAATGTCCCAGCTCCCCTACCCCACCAGCTGATGAATGGGAAGAGCATGCAAATGTGAAATGAAAAATAGCTGTTAGAAGCTTGACCTTCAGTCGCAGCTGGCTGGCTGTCGGAAATGTTTGTGACTACTAGCGAATGATTTACGGCTCAGATGAAAGTGCTGCGGCAAACATAAATAAGCCGATTTATAATGGCGACGTCTCACACGTGTGATTCTAAAACTGTGAAAACAGCATCGTACCACTGTTTTCTCGCCAACAATTTCGCCGCATTAAAATAAATCACCCAGGTGTTACTATATGCTGGTAAAGAGTATAAAAGCTCGGTACAAAGTCACCGCCACAACAGAAGTGGAACAATGCTCGTCATGCACCACCTGGAACTGCTGTTGTGCCTTTTGGCACAGAAGCTGGCCTTCGCATCAGTGCTGAAGAGGGGTAAGTAGTTAGCAGTGCTTAATTGACCTTCGCATTCATAGAGAATAGAGATTAGAGATCTTATGTATTTATCACTATGCATAGTTTTATGTTCGTAATGCCTTTTCTTGATGCACTAATCGAACATCTGTGAACGACATAGTTCAGACGGTCCCTAGAATGAGGGGTTTGACTGGGAATCTAAGCGCAGCCCAAATTCAAGATAAGAGACATCGGAACAAAATGCATAGATACATATCGTCTATAATGATGACCCAAGCTGATGATCCTCCTATGCAATGGTCATTGGGCGCCACAAATAACACTGCTACTCGTCGTGTTCCGTGCCGTTTCAGTTGTTGATATGAATGAACCGCTGGACTCCCACCCACTGGAGGTCCGAAGCTCGTACAACCGTCCTGTGCTGGGCTGCAGCAGCGAGGTTCAGTACCTGGACCTGGGCTCGCACATCATCCACTCGCCCAACTTCGACCGGCACAACCCGCAAAACTACACCAACGACTACAACTGCTCCTACATCTTACACAACAAGGCCTCCTCGGGACTGCTGCGCTTCGACTGCTTCGACTTTCAGCTGGAGGATAGTGACGGCTGCTCCAAGGATCGCCTCAAGGTCAACTACGGCAACTATCGACGTCAGTACTGCGGCGAGGACACGCCACCCACGGTGTACTACAAGAGCCTCGGCGTCAACTTTGTCACCGACTCCAGCGGCACCGGCACGGGCTTCCTCTGCAGCGTCATGGCCAAGAGATCGACCTCCGGCACCGGCGGCCTGCCCTGCGGTGAACACAGGCTCGCAGCGGGTACTTACTTACTCCAAAGCGGAAACTACCCTGGCAACTACGGCACCAACTCGGTCTGCGGCTGGTTTCTGATGCCGAAATTTACCAGAGACAGCATGAAGTTCAGTTGCAGCAGTTTCGACATGATCTCCTGGGACGGCTCCTGCAAGTGGGACAACATGCTCGTCAACGGCCACACGTTCTGCAACACCAATCCGCCGCCGCGGGAAGACAATCCACTGGTGATGGATTGGGGGGCGTATGTGCGATACGAAACCCCAGATCTCCCTGACAAGGTGCGCAAAGGATTCAACTGCACTGTGGTGGTTTCGGCCAATTAATGAGCATTGTTGACTAAACGGACACAACTAAAAATTGGCGAGTGGGACACAGTGCACAAGGTTTACGCATGGATCAGCATTGAAGTAAATCTATTTAGAAAACTACATTTGACGGAGTTTTGCAATTTGGTGATGGATTTAGAAACATCAGGTCGGCGCCAAATGCTTCTGTGTGAATACGATGGGTGACAACAAAAATACAACACAGACGTAAAATCAGCGTTGCTGAAAATCCAGTTGTTGTCACAACATCCGGCATGGATTTCAGGTCGTGTATACTAATTTTCAGCTATCTACATATTTCCAACGCGTTCGAATGAAAACAAATCTGTGAGACACGGAGAACGTCTAATCACGAATTGCAAAGCAGAACTGGGTTCTCATAGCGTATGGTCCTGTTAATGGCTCATGTTATACATATCTCAAATGATTAACCAAATATTTGAACTTTTCTTAGTCGCATTAAACGGAAAACAGACATATAACCAAAATCGGTTAGCAGATCTCCCCTATGCGCATTGCGCGGGTGATCAAGCGGCAAGTCAACCGCCAAGAACATAAACGGCCATTCGGGTCGCGTTAACCCGCGCCCCGTATGGCTATCGGAGGACCCTACCACCCGTGGGGGGAGGGGGGGGGAGGTGCGAATTGCGATTTTCAAAATTCAAACGGCGTTCGATAGCCCCACCAGGGGAACTACATTGTGACCCAATTTCATTGACCTTAGTCCAACCGATGACGTCAAAGGTCAGGTCAAAGGTCGCATTTTCACCGTTTACAGGTATTCCAAGATATGCGTTGTAAAATCGTGCAAAAGGCACCTTAACCGAAAATCATCGATGGAGAATTGTTTTTTGAAATACCTACATATTTTGCTACCTGAGGTCACTGATACCAGTTCAGGTCACAGAGGTCAGGTCACTGAGGGTCATAGGTACTCGTAGTACCCGCGCCCCGTAGGGGGGGGGGCGAAACGGCCCCCCTGTCCTTTTCGGTCGATATCTCCTAAACCGCTGGAGATATCGCCACCAAACTTTCAGGACCTGTCGGGGCATCGATTTTACACATTGTGACCAATATGTTTTCCAGAGGCTATGATAGGTTGGCCACAATTGACGTCAGAATGACGTCATGTTCTGTCATTTTCGACCGAAAAAAAGACCTTTGCGAGAAGACCTGTCAGGCCTACAGCTTTGAAGATACAGAAAAATGATCAGACATAAAAGGTGTAGAATTGACAGGGCTACAAAACTGCCATCTCGGATTTTTGAAATTTTTGAGTTTTGACCCCCAAAAATCAAAAAAGCATTTTTTTGGATATATTAGCCAAAAAATCCAAAACGTTTTTTGAGTTTCGAAAAACAAAACAAAATACATGTGATAGTACCTACCGTGTTCTATCTACATACCAAATTTCAGATCGATAGGGGAGAGCGGGGAGAGTTGTATCATGTCCAAGTTGTATCAGGGCGAATTGTGCCAAACTTATCCAATAGATAGCGCTCGTGACACGACCAGCCGACGAGGTTTTCCGGGCGCCATCTTTCCCTGTTCTGTCGTGTGGCTGGGTGGACGCGTCTCGAGGTGAGAGCCGATTTTATGTTTTTTTAATGTCATTCTAAAAAAAATGAGTTGCAAGAAAATGTATGTTTTGGGCATAGGCGGCGGAACGATTTGAGACAAGGGGGCACCATGGTTCAAGGAGCCAAACCTAGGGTACCCCCAAATCCTGTTTTCTCATCGGATTTAGGCCATTTATTTTTCGTCACAGCCCTGACACGATGATTTTTTTATTTTTTTTTACTAAACGAAAATGGCAGTTCACCCCCGTATGCAGGTGTGTACCTAATTTTATATCTCTTTGTGGGGGCATATGCACCCACAATGGTCATTTCACGATGGAACCGTGCAAATTATATTAGCGGGAAGTTGCGCCCTAGTCACCTCCCACCTCCGCCAGCGCCAGGTCGTGCCTCAACACGGAACAGGCCGTGCCACCTAGGTGCGCCGGGGAGAACTACAGGTCGCATAGTGCCACCAGATGTCGCGCACCCACGACAGGCGCAGATATATAGATTTTAGATCGTGGGTGGTATATTGTAACAGCGCTGATTTCTACCATGCATGTATTTTAGCAACTCACAGCGTGGGCGCAGGCACTGGAACCACAACGGCTACCACAACAGCACGTAAGTATGTGTGATTGTGCCCCCTGGGGGTCCGGAAGCGGTGGGGAGTATGTTTTCAAAAAAAATATTGTTTAATAAAACTTCGTTCATCGGGGGTGTTTTTTTCTTCCGAGATGGATGCCGACCTGCGCCGTGCTCTGGAACAACCTCAGGTGAGTGTTTTCGGCTGTTAGATCCTCAAATAGTTGATTAACGAGTTGATTTTCTTGCTGTTTGACTTCTCTCTTGTTCAAACGTAATTACACACCCATTTTTAATTGATGATCGGTCCGTTGGTTTCAAGCTGACCGGTTCCTTTCCGCCACCGTTCCTTGCGCCTGGGGCTCGTCACAAACAATATTTATAATGAGGCTGGCTTGTCGCTTGTCAACATATAGTCTTCCTGCCTGGGATGGTGTCTGCATCATAAGGAATTTTGGGATGTGGAAGTCTCCCCCTATCAACAATTTTGATGCCTCCCGTAAGGGTCAGCCCCTTAGCCACCGTCTGATTAGGGTAAAATACGAATCAATCCTTCTATTTCTCCCCCTTTTTGTCCTGCTCAAAAAAATCACATCCCCGTTTGAGGTCACCTTTATGCTGAGGGTCAAATCTCCCGCTGGTCCTTACTCTACCGACGCATACATCAATCTGTCCACCGACGCACACTTCCTTCCATACAACGCTCATCCCACTACAATGAATTTCCTTCCGAGTTGACCTCTCGGCCCCTCCCAGCAATAATTCTACTCCCTCCAGCGGTGCATAGAAGTGCCTTAAACGTAAGTTTGTTTGCTTTTTTTTTTGGAGTCCGTGCTAAAGGTAAGGGGGATTAAAAGAGATAATTATCGTCTCAATCTTACCTCACAACGACTTATTGCGCCCTACTGTAACCTTGGATCTCTTGGGGCCCGTCCTAGCACCCTCCCTTGGCCCATCTCGGCCCACTTAACCTAGAACCCTACATCACTCGACCCGGATTACTTGTCTAAAGTTACGACGCAGTGTAGCGACTGGTTATTAGCGTTCGTCGACGGGTGTGATTGGCTCTTTCTCCCCTGCCGCTCACGGCACATCTCTGATTCCCTACTAAAACCCCGCAGCCGGACGTTGGTTACTAACCCCTGCAGCCCTTCTGTGAGAGACTGTCTTACGCGTTTTCACCTAACGAACCGGTGGACACAACCCCTGCCGCCCCGACGACCGCAGTCTCGCTGGGCTCATAGACAGGTACCTACTCAGTACTCTCATGCAGTCATGGCACCCGCAAGTGGCGCCTTTGAATCATTGACCGGTGTGACTCGAAGACTCCATGACTGAATCTATCCTGCAATTTTATCCGACGCCGTGGAATTCTATCCTGCAGATGTGTGTTCAAGCGCGTTAGCGTCATGAATGATACATGCTGCCATCCTTCCGACGGTGGACTCACCTCATCCCGGCGGTATTGCTTCCTTCGCCTTATCCTCTATCATCTTCGTATTTACCACTCACCTTCGGCGGGGTGCTCCCTCGCCCCTGTCTGACTCTCTGTCTTCTGAACGAACTCACCTCTCTGTTGGGCGTCTTATGGCGTTCTATTTGCTCAACTACCTTAAATTATTTCCTTTCAACGAGGGACTATCCCAGTCCAAGCAGGTTCCGACGTATCAGAGAGTTAGAAGCACATAGAAGTGCTGCAACATACCTCCTCTTCGGCTAGCATCAATCTTATACTTCCTTGCATATCCCTGGTCTCCATGGTTAGGGATACCTAAGCATTCTACGGAAATCAGTTGGGTATCTCCTTACCTGTCTAGTTCATGAAGGTGTATGTCGGTGTCTATCAGCCATCTCATCGAGATTCGTCTAAATTGCAGTTGTGACTTGTACGTATCGAATAACGAGGAACAGTCACGTAACTTTTATTTCCGCGACAATTGTTACGCCCGTCAGTACGCCCATAATTTGGTAAGCATCATGGACTTCCACCAGTGACGTCATTTATTTCTTATGATTGCTCAGTGTTGACCTTGGCAAAGGAGTTGACTCGTGACGTCTTTAAATCGCGGCCCTTGGAGAATAGCATCAAGATAACTACCCCAGATAGGTCGCATTGATTTGGGGAAGACCTGGACGAAGTTCTAAGACGGAGTACTGCGCCGGCAGTGAAATAGGGCCCAGGCTAAACCATATAAATTCTGCTGAAAAAAAAACTATTCTACACACCAAAAATTTGTACGTCAGGGAACGATTCGCGATTCCTCAATTTAATCCTGGGACCCAATAGACAAAGAATTTAACCCATCAAGCGTTTGTTTCAACCCCTACTATATCTTCGGTCACGTGACCGCCTTGGCAAATCCTTGTATTTGCAACATTGTTACTTTAACAGAAAAAAAAATTGTGTAATACCCTTTGAACCGTAATCGTGTAACCGCATTTTTAAAAATTTGTATAACTTTGCTTGACAAACAAACAAAAGAACGTGATATTTCGGGGGCTGTGTTTGGGCAGTCCTTTTGGGACTTCGATTTTAGACTCTTTACCTATCTTGTGGCCTGATTAGCAGATGGGCTTGTATAAACGAATCATTGAACCTACTGGGGCCGAATCTTTATCCCTCTTTCACTCCCAGATTATGATATCCTGGCTTAAAATTTGGCAGTTTGTGCGAAAACTGGGTGGTGAAGGAAAAACTTTACTCCCGGCCGACTCCGCAGACCGCGGCTACCAAATGGTGTTCGGTTGGCATACCTTGATCTCGCAATCCCCTAACCTTGAACACACGCCGGTTTTCAAATGTTGGGTTTTGCCGCAGCGTGGATTTAGTGATAATTGTGGAATTTATTAGTTTCACTGTAAATTGGGTGGGGTTATCGATAAATTTTGATATTGGACCTAGATCTTTACCGTAATTCCTCTTGGTTCGTAAGTATTTGTGGCGAACTGGTAAGTGAGGTGTGCGCACAGATTGCCTCCGTTTGATTCTCCGGACTCGGCTCAATTTCAAATGATATATTGACTGCCTTTTTTGTAGAATTTCATGAGACGTGTCATATAATTCACTTGTTTGCCTTGCTAGACCCACGTGTGAGGCTCGAGTTTGAATTCACTGCACAATATGAATGGGTTCTTGTG